TAACTCAGGGGTATCTCCTCTCCTCTAACTCAGGGGTATCTCCTCTCCTTTAACTCAGGGGCATCTCCTCTCCTTTAACTCAGGGGTATCTCCTCTCCTTTAACTCAGGGGTATCTCCTCTCCTTTAACTCAGGGGTATATCCTCTCCTTTAACTCAGGGGTATCTCCTCTCCTTTAACTCAGGGGTATCTCCTCTCCTTTAACTCAGGGGTATCTCCTCTCCTTTAACTCAGGGGTATCTCCTCTCCTTTAACTCAGGGGTATCTCCTCCTCTCCTTTAACTCAGGGGCATCTCCTCTCCTTTAACTCAGGGGTATCTCCCTCCTTTAACTCAGGGGTATCTCCTCTCCTTTAACTCAGGGGTCTCTCCTCTCCTTTAACTCAGGGTATCTCCTCTCCTTTAACTCAGGGGGCATCCTCCTCTCCTTTAACTCAGGGGTATCTCCTCTCTTTAACCATGGTGTATCTCCTCTCCTTTAACTCAGGGGTACTTCTCCTCTCCTTAACTCAGGGGTATCTCCTCTCCTTAACTCAGGGGTATATCCTCTCCTTTAACTCAGGGGCATCTCCTCTCCTTTAACTCAGGGGTATCTTCCTCTCCTCTAACTCAGGGGTATCTCCTCTCCTTTAAACCTCAGGTGGTATCTCCTCTCCTTTAACTCAGGGGTATCTCCTCTCCTTTAACTCAGGGGTATCTCCTCTCCTTTAACTCAGGGGTATCTCCTCTCCTTTAACTCAGGGGTTATCTCCCTCTCCTTTAACTCAGGGGTATCTCCTCTCCTTTAACTCAGGGGTATCTCCTCTCCTTTAACTCAGGGGTCTCTCCTCTCCTTTAACTCAGGGGTATCTCCTCTCCTTTAACTCAGGGGTATCTCCTCTCCTTTAACTCAGGGGTATCTCCTCTCCTTTAACTCAGGGTCTCTCCTCTCCTCTAACTCAGGGGTTTCTCCTCTCTTTTAACTCAGGGGTATCTCCTCTCCTTTAACACAGGGGTCTCTCCTCTCCTTTAACTCAGGGGTATCTCCTCTCCTCTAACTCAGGGTATCTCCTCTCCTTTAACTCAGGGGTATCTCCTCTCCTTTAACTCAGGGGTATCTCCTCTCCTCTAACTCAGGGGCATCTCCTCTCCTTTAACTCAGGGGTATCTCCTCTCCTCTAACTCAGGGGTATCTCCTCTCCTTTAACTCAGGGGTATCTCCTCTCCTTTAACTCAGGGGTATCTCCTCTCCTTTAACTCAGGGGTATCTCCTCTCCTTAACTCAGGGGTATCTCCTCTCCTTTAACTCAGGGGTATCTCCTCTCCTTTAACTCAGGGGTATCTCCTCTCTTTTAACTCAGGGGTATCTCCTCTCCTTTAACACAGGGGTCTCTCCTCTCCTTTAACTCAGGGGTATCTCCTCTCCTCTAACTCAGGGGTATCTCCTCTCCTTTAACTCAGGGGTATCTCCTCTCCTCTAACTCAGGGGCATCTCCTCTCCTTTAACTCAGGGGTATCTCCTCTCCTCTAACTCAGGGGTATCTCCTCTCCTTTAACTCAGGGGTATCTCCTCTCCTTTAACTCAGGGGTATCTCCTCTCCTTTAACTCAGGGGTATCTCCTCTCCTTTAACTCAGGGGTATCTCCTCTCCTTTAACACAGGGGTATCTCCTCTCCTTTACTCAGGGTATCTCCTCTCCTTTAACTCAGGGGTATCTCCTCTCCTTTAACTCAGGGGCATCTCCTCTCCTTTAACTCAGGGGTATCTCCTCTCCTTTAACTCAGGGGTATCTCCTCTCCTTTAACTCAGGGGTATCTCCTCTCCTTTAACTCAGGGGTATCTCCTCTCCTTTAACACAGGCGTATCTCCTCTCCTTTAACTCAGGGGTATCTCCTCTCCTTTAACTCAGGGGTATCTCCTCTCCTTTAACTCAGGGGTATCTCCTCTCCTTTAACTCAGGGGTATCTCCTCTCCTTTAACTCAGGGGTATCTCCTCTCCTTTAACTCAGGGGTATCTCCTCTCCTTTAACACAGGGGTATCTCCTCTCCTTTAACTCAGGGGTCTCTCCTCTCCTTTAACTCAGGGGTATCTCCTCTCCTTTAACTCAGGGGTATCTCCTCTCCTTTAACTCAGGGGTATCTCCTCTCCTTTAACTCAGGGGTATCTCCTCTCCTTTAACTCAGGGGTATCTCCTCTCCTTTAACTCAGGGGTATCTCCTCTCCTTTAACTCAGGGGTATCTCCTCTCCTCTAACTCAGGGGTATCTCCTCTTGCCCTTTATATGTCGTTGCTGCAGTGTACTGCCATGTGGTAAATACTTGTGCTGCTCTTGCTCTTTTGCACTTTTTGCATTTCATGTATTTGTTGTTGCTACGTTTGTAAAATGTAATCTTCGTAAATGTTTCATGTGAGGGACTGCGGATGGAAATGAGCTCAAAGCTAAATCTGGCACTGTTATGTTTGAATGTTTTAAGTGTTCATCACTGTGCATTGTCCCTGCCAAATAAACAATCCATCCATCTTCTCCCGCTTATCCGTGGTCGGGTCTCGGAGGTATCAGTTCCAGCAGAGAGCCCCAAACGTTCCTTTCCCCTCATCAACCAGCTCTGACTGGGGGGGTCCCAAGGCGCACCCAGGCCAGCCAAGAGATACCTCCACCTGGTCCTGGTTGTAGTTTAGTAGATATCTACAAACAAAGAGTCCATATTTTTCTAAAACCATTTAGTGCTTCACATAATAAAATACACAACGGCTGTTAGCTGTAGGTGTGTGTGTGGTACAGTCTGTAGGTGTGTGTGTTCTACAGTGCGCAGATGCAGCGGACAGACAGGTCTCAGTTGGTTTGGTGTCCTCTGCTTACTTTTAATACTTGTAAATAAAACTGTTCCCTTGGTCTCCAGCTGTGAGCGTCACTCTTTAGTGTCCCCTGGTCTCCAGCTGTGTGCGTCCCCCTTTAGTGTCCCCTGGTCTCCCAGCATGTCTCCTCATGCTGCTGAAGGTTCTCTAACGCTGCATGTGTTGCTGGAGATGTTTCTTCATGAGGAACCTTTGTGTTTTTATATCTGCATCCTCTCTGAAGCTGCAGCGCGTTTCTACTAATGGAAGAGTTAAGGTTTGTTTTAGCACCGGTCACACCGGGCGGTCGGGCCTCTGTATTTTTGTCATGATTTCAACTATCTTTAAAGAGATCTTCAAAATGTAATCTCTTTTAAAGTGATCCTTGTGATTTAAATCCTCATAAATGATCTTGTTTCATGATTTAAAGAGTCTTCTCAGGTTCAGGATGTTCTGCAGAAACAGTTAACAGAGATGTTCTCCATGTTCTCCGGATGACTGGAGCCGAACAAGCCCTGAAACACAGCAACAAAGACCCTCCCTCACCCCCTTCCTCACCCATCCTACACGGACCCCGAAAAGCAGAAGAGCCCATTATATAACCAGCTCCCCCCCACCACTCATGAACTGGTTTCCAGTTGAAAGGCTGAGGGGGGGTCACGTGGTCCAGAGAGGCTTGTTTACCACAACAAGGGGAGAGAGAGGGGAGAGAGAGAGGAGGGTTTCCCACCATCTCATTCACAACTACTTTCACACGCCGCGCTGCCGCCGCCGTCACTATGGAGACCCAGAGATGGACATGTGACCGAGGAGAGCCAATCAGGAGACAGTATGTGTAACTAAGGGATATCACCATGAAACCCCCCCCCCCCCACTTCATTACTGACATTAACACAATATTTAGCAAATTACAAGGAGTGGACATGTCATGTTTAAATATGCAAATGAGGTGTAATGATACATTTTGGATACATCTACAGACACAAACAGACAGAGTTGGTAAAATAAACTCTTGGATGAGGACTAAGATGTTTGCGGACATGTTATGGAAGCTAAAAAGCACAAAATCTTAGAATCAATGCACGAATAAACATGTTTTACCATCTCTGCCTCTGGGTGCATCTATATGTCTGAGATGTCTTCTTATTTATTGTAAATAAATAATATATTTGTAAGCATTTGTATGCATGTCAATTGTGTGTTTGTTTCATTGTGGGTTGTGTGTTACATGTTGAGTCACTTTTTTTCAGATCCTTGTTTTGTCTTTTCTGTTTAGATATGACTTTAAAAAGAATGACTCATCTAAAGATTAAGGTGGTCACAAATAGGGTTAGTATTTTATTGTTATTTAATAAATCACAACTACTTCCAGAGGTGCACAAAGTACTAAGATATTGTACTTGAGTAAAAGTAGAAGTACTCAGATCTTGTACTTGAGTAAAAGTAGAAGTACTCTGATGTTGTAGGCTACTTGAGTAAAAAGTAGAAGTACTCAGATCTTTTAGTTGAGTAAAAGTACTCAGATGTTGTACTTGAGTAAAAGTAGAAGTACTCAGATCTTTTATTTGAGTAAAAGTAGAAGTAGGCCTAGTCAGATCTTGTAGCCTACTTGAGTAAAAGTAGAAGTATAGGCCTACTCAGTTCTGGTACAAGTACAGTACTTGAGTAAATCTACTTAGTTATTTTACACAACTGACTACTTCTGCCTCGAATTAAAGATGTGTTGATATATTGTGGGACATGTAAAATAAAAAATATAAATATGAAGATTTTTCCACAGAGTTTGGCTCTACTATCTGTTCAGACAGTAACACACATTGATCACTGTATTCACAACTTTAATAAGATTCTCTTTAGTTCGGCTGTAATGAAATCCACGGTTTGATTTATTTTAACATGATATCTCTGCCCTGAAATCGGAGGTGTTGGAGGGCAACAACAGAAAAAACACATGTATTAATTTATTACAAATGAACAGATCGTAATTATAAGTACGCCGAATTAAAGAGGGCCTTTTCTTGAACAAGAAAACATATAAATAAGTTATTTCTTTATCTGCTTAAAGCTCTGAAACAATCAATGCTTTTATTAAATATGTGGATTTGTGAATGGAGTTTGGTACGCACACGGAACAGAAACGTAACTTGGCTGTAGCTGTAGTGAACGTAAACAGTTACGACATGCCGTATTGCAGTGTGTCCAGTGAGACTACACGTGAAAGCAGAAACAGACAGAAATCAACTTAAAATTAAAGTGTTTTTAATTCGTTTTAGTTGAGTATCTGCGGGCCAGCATGCTGTACCTGGTGGGGCTGGGGCTCGGTGACGCGACGGACATCACGGTGAAGGGTCTGGCGGCCGTGAGGGGCTGCAGCCGGGTCTACCTGGAGGCCTACACCTCCATCCTCACCGTGGGGAAGGAGGCTCTGGTGAGGACTTCACATCACACTGAACTGTCCCAGGATCAAATACAAACTGTGTAGAGTAACCTACTGTATACAGTAGGTTACTCTACACACACTGGAAATTGTACCTATGTAAATGTACTATAGTACATTTACATAGGTACAATTTCCAGGTACTTGTACTTTACTTGAGTATTTCAATGTGAAGCTATGTGTACTTCTACTTTTACTTGTAAGTACAAGATCTGAGTACTTCTCCCACCTCTGACAACAGGGAGTCCACAAGTAGTTCATAACATGGGACTTTTTATGATTTTCTTTTTCACATGTTACTTCTCTGGTATTTGATATTAGGACTTTTTATGATTTTCATGACATATTATACGATACATATATATATAGCTTTAATTACATTTATTTTTAATACTTGTATTACTTTTCACAACCTACCAATTCATTATTGCTGTTTTGATTTATGACTTTTTATTATATATTATATTTTTTTCTTTTTATAAATTTTTTGAAATATTATATAAATTTTATTATGATTTATTTTGTATTTTTATGACATTGGAATTTTGATGTTTTTTTCTGACTTTTAATAAGATACTTATTATACTGCAATAACATGCTTGGGCTTTGTATAGATAGATCATGATTGATTTAAACAGCATTGTGATCAGTCTTTAGGATTTGACAAACTATATCATATTGTTTAGCCCTCCGGTGTCACTCGATTGGACCACGCAAATTAGTCATTCGGGACAAAAATGTCCACTGCAAAAGACTTTGATAAAAACATTACATTAAAAGCTTTTGTTCACAACTTGTTTGGGTTCAATCTTTAAAGCAACTTCTGTCCTAATAGAAAATCATTTTCAGGATTTTAACCCTTTAAATGCCATTTTGAATACATGAAACCGCGGTTGTTTTTCATGATGAAAACAGAAAATTAGTTATTTTCCATAAAATACATATCTGGGGACTGGCTCTTTTTTATCACAGTCTTGGAATGTCAAAGATTAGCAACAACATTGATTTTTTTGCATTATTAGTTTTTGCACAGAATCAGATTAAACAAAAAATTCACACATTAGTCATTCGGGACAAAAATGTCCACTTCCAAAAACTGCTATAAAATGATAACAGATTAATATTTGTTTTAAGTGTTTGGGGTTAAATCTTTCAATCAACTTCAGTCCTGATCAAAAATACCAAATTATGTTCAGGATTTTAACCCTTTAACTGCCAGTTTGAAAAACATGAATTTGCGTTTTCTATGAAAAACATGCACAAAAAGGCAGTTATTTTCCATATAATGAATGTTGGGGGGGTCGGCTTTTCTTTATCACAGTCTTGGATTAAAGATCCAAAGATTAGCAACAACATTGATTTTGGTGGATTATTAGTTTTTGCACAGAATCAGATTAAACAAAAAACTCATTAGTCATTCGGGACAAACATGTCCACAGTGATACCGGAGGGTTAAAGACTTTCTATGATTTATTCAAATGAGATTTTATATTATGACTTTGTTTCACTTTTCTATGACATCCTTTATTATGAATTGACTTTAAAATACTTTACTACTCCTGCCACACTCCCGCTCACACTGTCTGCCTGTGCTTCTCCCAGGAGGAGTATTATGGGATGCCTCTGATCCTGGCGGACAGGGATCTGGTGGAGCAGCAGGCGGACGAGATCCTGAAGGACGCTGACGTGACGGACGTGGCGTTCCTGGTGGTGGGCGACCCGTTCGGGTGAGACAAAAGAAGGACATAATACAACTACAAATAGTGCAAGATGAAACGGAGTAGGACAGTATGGACATGTGTTTTATTCCACAAGAAGCCCCGTCCAACAACAAGACACCACTGTAGTTTACTACATGTTCAGGTCACAGGCTCCTCCAACAGAGCAACAAAATAAAACAGATAAAATAGAATATAAATAGTGCAAGGAGAGTCTATGTACAAGTAATTGGAATATGATATATTAGATAAATAATTTGTAAATTGCAAACAGATGAATGTTGTTGGGAAAATCCTGAATGTCCTCTTCCAACCTGAGAGTAACTTGATAACAAAGGTATCAACTGTAGCTGTGAACATGACAGGATGTGTGATGACCTAGAAGAGCATCAGGACTGTTTGAGGCAGATGATAGCTATGTGATTAACATGATGATTCAGCCTCTATGGAGAGAGACATCAAGCATGCTCATTTCTGACGTGGAGCTAATCTGAAGTAAACATTGAATACTGCTTTCTATTCCTCCATCTTGTGACTGTGTAACTCCCTCTCTTGGATATCAGCATGTGAAGGACACTGTTCAGGAACTAGTTGATGCTCTGTATGTGAAGACTCCTTCCATTCTGGAGAGGATCACAGACACATGGATCCTGAGGTTCAAGCTCAAGCCGGGGACCAGGGAGATTATTAAGTATTTCAAAAAAGTCATAATTTTGAGATTTTTTGAAAAAGTCAGATATTTTTAGGATTTTTGAGAAAAAGTCAGAATTTTTTGAGATTTTTGAGAAAAAGTCAGAATTTTTTGATATTTTGCGAAAAAGTCTGACTTTTTTGAGATTCGTGTGAAAAAGCCAGATTTGAGATTTTTTTGAAAAGTCAGATTCTTTTGGATTTTTGCGAAAAAGTCAGAATGTTTTGAGATTTTTGAGGAAAAGTCAGATTTTTTAGATCTTCCATTCTTGAGAGGATCACAAATACATGGATCCTGAGGTTGAAGCTCAAGCCGGTGACCAGTGATATGTTTCTAACAAATGTTATGGATGTTGTTTCAAAGTTCAGGTGTTTAACAGTCTTCTGGCCTGTGGGATGAAGCTGTCCCTGAGTCTGGTGGTTTTAGTCCTGATGCTGCGGGACCAGAACAGTTTGATGCTGGGGTGATGGGCGTCTTCTATAATCCTGAGGGCTTGATGTGATGTTTGTGCAGTTTTCAGACACGTAGCATCTGCAGCTCGTATTGATCCAGTTCTGCTGCGTCAGCACTCTTTAAACTGACCACACACTCATTCCTGCTCGTTTCTCCCCAAAACACCAGCTGTGAGGTAATGACAGAGCGGACGTGTGGTCATGTGAGCGCTGGGTTACAGTTTACATGAAGAGAGAGGAGAGTAAAAAACAACTTTAATCTGTTCAAACCTCAGCATCACTCTGAGGGTCAGAGGAATATGAGACGGTGTTTTTCATCTCTCGTTAAAACCTTCGTGTTTAGACTCAAAGACGCAGCTGTGTATATCAGTATGTAGTGTCTCTACTTTAAAGAGTCCTCTCCTGCTGATGTTCAGGTGTATATCAGTGTGTAGTGTCTCTACTTTAAAGAGTCCTCTCCTGCTGATGTTCAGGTGTATGTATATCAGTATGGAGTGTCTCTACTTTAAAGAGTCCTCTCCTGCTGATGTTCAGGTGTATATCAGTATGTAGTGTCTCTACTTTAAAGAGTCCTCTCCTGCTGATGTTCAGGCGTATATCAGTATGTAGTGTCTCTACTTTAAAGAGTCCTCTCCTGCTGATGTTCAGGTGTATATCAGTATGTAGTGTCTCTACTTTAAGAGTCCTCTCCTGCTGATGTTCAGGTGTATATCAGCATGTAGTGTCTCTACTTTAAAGAGTCCTCTCCTGCTGATGTTCAGGTGTATATCAGTATGTAGTGTCTCTACTTTAAAGAGTCCTCTCCTGCTGATGTTCAGGTGTATATCAGTATGTAGTGTCTCTACTTTAAAGAGTCCTCTCCTGCTGATGTTCAGGTGTATATCAGTACGTAGTGTCTCTACTTTAAAGAGTCCTCTCCTGCTGATGTTCAGGTGTATATCAGTATGTAGTGTCTCTACTTTAAAGAGTCCTCTCCTGCTGATGTTCAGGTGTATATCAGTATGTAGTGTCTCTACTTTAAAGAGTCCTCTCCTGCTGATGTTCAGGTGTATATCAGTATGTAGTGTCTCTACTTTAAAGAGTTCTCTCCTGCTGATGTTCAGGTGTATATCAGTATGTAGTGTCTCTACTTTAAAGAGTCCTCTCCTGCTGATGTTCAGGTGTATATCAGCATGTAGTGTCTCTACTTTAAAGAGTCCTCTCCTGCTGATGTTCAGGTGTATATCAGTATGTAGTGTCTCTACATTAAAGAGTCCTCTCCTGCTGATGTTCAGGTGTATATCAGTATGTAGTGTCTCTACTTTAAAGAGTCCTCTCCTGCTGATGTTCAGGTGTATATCAGTATGTAGTGTCTCTACTTTAAAGAGTCCTCTCCTGCTGATGTTCAGGTGTATATCAGTAATGTAGTGTCTCTACTTTAAAGAGTCCTCTCCTGCTGATGTTCAGGTGTATATCAGTATGTAGTGTCTCTACTTTAAAGAGTCATCTCCTGCTGATGTTCAGGTGTATATCAGTGTGTAGTGTCTCTACTTTAAAGAGTCATCTCCTGCTGATGTCCAGGTGTATATCAGTATGTAGTGTCTCTACTTTAAAGAGTCCTCTCCTGCTGATGTTCAGGTGTATATCAGTATGTAGTGTCTCTACTTTAAAGAGTCCTCTCCTGCTGATGTTCAGGTGTATATCAGTATGTAGTGTCTCTACTTTAAAGAGTCCTCTCCTGCTGATGTTCAGGTGTATATCAGTATGTAGTGTCTCTACTTTAAAGAGTCCTCTCCTGCTGATGTTCAGGTGTATATCAATATGTAGTGTCTCTACTTTAAAGAGTCCTCTCCTGCTGATGTTCAGGTGTATATCAGTATGTAGTGTCTCTACTTTAAAGAGTCCTCTCCTGCTGATGTTCAGGTGTATATCAGTATGTAGTGTCTCTACTTTAAAGAGTTCTCTCCTGCTGATGTTCAGGTGTATATCAGTATGTAGTGTCTCTACTTTAAAGAGTCCTCTCCTGCTGATGTTCAGGTGTATATCAGTATGTAGTGTCTCTACTTTAAAGAGTCCTCTCCTGCTGATGTTCAGGTGTATATCAGTATGTAGTGTTTCTACTTGAAAGAGTCCTCTCCTGCTGATGTTCAGGTGTATATCAGTATGTAGTGTCTCTACTTTAAAGAGTTCTCTCCTGCTGATGTTCAGGTGTATATCAGTATGTAGTGTCTCTACTTTAAAGAGTCCTCTCCTGCTGATGTTCAGGTGTATATCAGTATGTAGTGTCTCTACTTTAAAGAGTCCTCTCCTGCTGATGTTCAGGTGTATATCAGTATGTAGTGTCTCTACTTTAAAGAGTCCTCTCCTGCTGATGTTCAGGTGTATATCAGTATGTAGTGTCTCTACTTTAAAGAGTCCTCTCCTGCTGATGTTCAGGTGTATATCAGTATGTAGTGTCTCTACTTTAAAGAGTCATCTCCTGCTGATGTTCAGGTGTATATCAGTATGTAGTGTCTCTACTTTAAAGAGTCCTCTCCTGCTGATGTTCAGGTGTATATCAGTATGTAGTGTCTCTACTTTAAAGAGTCCTCTCCTGCTGATGTTCAGGTGTATATCAGTATGTAGTGTCTCTACTTTAAAGAGTCCTCTCCTGCTGATGTTCAGGTGTATATCAATATGTAGTGTCTCTACTTTAAAGAGTCCTCTCCTGCTGATGTTCAGGTGTATATCAGTATGTAGTGTCTCTACTTTAAAGAGTCCTCTCCTGCTGATGTTCAGGTGTATATCAGTATGTAGTGTCTCTACTTTAAAGAGTCCTCTCCTGCTGATGTTCAGATGTATATCAGTATGTAGTGTATCTACTTTAAAGAGTCCTCTCCTGCTGATGTTCAGGTGTATATCAGTATGTAGTGTCTCTACTTTAAAGAGTTCTCTCCTGCTGATGTTCAGGTGTATATCAGTATGTAGTGTCTCTACTTTAAAGAGTCCTCTCCTGCTGATGTTCAGGTGTATATCAGTATGTAGTGTCTCTACTTTAAAGAGTTCTCTCCTGCTGATGTTCAGGTGTATATCAGTATGTAGTGTCTCTACTTTAAAGAGTCCTCTCCTGCTGATGTTCAGGTGTATATCAGTATGTAGTGTCTCTACTTTAAAGAGTCCTCTCCTGCTGATGTTCAGGTGTATATCAGTATGTAGTGTCTCTACTTTAAAGAGTCCTCTCCTGCTGATGTTCAGGTGTATATCAGTATGTAGTGTCTCTACTTTAAAGAGTCCTCTCCTGCTGATGTTCAGGGTGTATATCAGTATGTAGTGTCTCTTTTATTCAGAATATCAAATATGTTTCAGTTGTTAATTCCCTGTAAACATACGATGTTTTCTTACATAATAATATGTATTGATATGTTTCTCCTGCAGAGCCACCACCCACAGTGACCTGGTGCTGAGAGCAGTGCATGCTGGGATACCGTACAAAGTCATCCACAACGCCTCCATCATGAACGCCGTCGGCTGCTGTGGCCTTCAGGTACTCAATCAATTAAAATGAGTACATTACATTACATTTATTTATCTATCTATCTATCTAAAAGTACGTATTAAACGCAGTTCTGAGGTACTTGTACTTTATACTTCCTCTCCACTACAACCTCAGAGGTATTTATTGTACTCGATACTGCAGTACTTGTATTTCACTACTTCAGTTCCTCACAGAATAAGATTACAGCGCGGTGCGTTCAGGGACCTCTCACCATCTGCTGATAGGTCATCAATAACTGAGCTGTCACAGCAGCCAATCAGAGCGCAGGACCCAGCTGTGCACTGAGCGGGAGCTCGTTAATATGCTAATGAGGGGGTGGGGCTATGCTAATGAGACGCCCCCTCACCACATGACTCTTTATGAGCTGAACAATATTTTATAGTTTAAACCTTCCCTGTTTTTATGTATTTATATATGAATTATTATTATTAGTTATTCAGATGCAAAATGGTAAAAATAAAAAAGAATATTATAAATGACTGCGAAAAACGTCATATTGGATCCAAATTTACAAAGAAAATGCAAAATATAAAAGTCTTAACATATAATTCAACTAAAGGTGTGTCTGTGTGCGCTTTTGTGTGTGTAGCTGTATAACTTCGGGGAGACGGTGTCGTTGGTGTTCTGGACGGAGACGTGGAAACCCGAGAGTTTCTACGACAAAATCTGTAAAAACAGGAAAGCTGGACAACACACACTCTGCTTGCTGGGTGAGACACACACACACACACACACACACACACACACACACACACCAGGTGTCTGTTTATTCAGACCATCATTAATCTATCTGCCCACTCAGACACCCAGGGGACCCTAAACTAACCGTCCTGGGGGGTGGGGGGGGTAACCAGCCTAATGTAATTGTGTGTGTGTGTGTGTGTGTGTGTGTGTGTGTGTGTGTGTGTGTGTGTGTGTGTGTGTGTGTGTGTGTGTGTGTGTGTGTGTGTGTGTGTGTGTGTGTGTGTGTGTGTGTGTGTGTGTGTGTGTGTGTGTGTGTGTGTGTGTGTGTGTGTGTGTGTGTGTGTGTGTGTGTGTGTGTGTGTGTGTGTGTGTGTCACAGCTGGTTCTTTATATTTATCGGGGGAATAAAAGTCAATAAAAACAGAGATCCATCTCCGTCCACTATCCTCATTTGTTTGTTTAATAAAAAGTCATTGTTAGAATGTAACAAAATTCAAAGTGATAGTATAATATTGATAAACATGTCATTGTAACGTCAGTCTAAAAAGTCATAGTGTAGGATATAATAAAAATTCATATGATCATTTGTCAAAAGTCATGAAAGTCATAGTTTGAATTCATAAAAATGTATTTAAAACTGTGGATATACGGAGTATTGATCTGAGCGTGATGTTTCTGTCGACAGATATTAAAGTAAAAGAGCAGAGCATCGAGAACATGATGAGGTGAGATCAAGATGGACTTATTATAATACATGTTATTTCACTAGATATCGTGTTAGATAACGTTTGTTTGTTTTCAGAGGGAAAAAGATCTTCGAGCCGCCGCGCTTCATGACGGTCGGTCAGGCTGCAGATCAGCTGATCCAGATCATCGAGAGGAGGAGGGAGGAGGGGGGGGAGCTGGGTGAGACACACACACACACACACACACACACACACACACACACACACACACACACACACACACACACACACACACACACACACATTTGAATACTTTATTTGGTTCCACAAATTACATTACATAAGACAGGGGAATCAAATATATCGGGGCTAAGCAGCACAGAACACTTAGGGGAACACATAGCACCTCCTTCTCCACACGGCTAAGCAGCAGCCTTAAGGGAACACATGGCACCTCCTTCTCCACACGGCTAAGCAGCAGCCTTAAGGGAACACATGGCACCTCCTTCTCCACACGGCTAAGCAGCAGCCTTAAGGGACACATGGCAACCTCCTTCTCCACACGGCTAAGCAGCAGCCTTAAGGGGAACACATGGCACCTCCTTCTCCACACGGCTAAGCAGCAGCCTTAAGGGAACACATGGCACCTCCTTCTCCACACGGGCTAAGCAGCAGCCTTTAAGGGAACACATGGCACCCTCCTTCTCCACACGGCTAAGCAGCAGCCCTTAAGGGAACACATGGCACCTCCTTCTCCACACGGCTAAGCAGCAGCTTAAGGGAACACACATGACCTCCTTCTCCCACACGGCTAAGCAGCAGCCTTAAGGGAACACATGGCACCTCCTTCTCCACACGGCTAAGCAGCAGCCTAAGGGAACCACATGGCCACCTCCTTTCTCCACACGGCTAAGCAGCAGCCTTAAGGGAACACATGGCACCTCCTTCTCCACACGGCTAAAGCAGCAGCCTTAAGGGAACACATGGCACCTCCTTCTCCACACGGCTAAGCAGCAGCCTTAAGGGAACACATGGCACCTCCTTCTCCACACGGCAAGCAGCAGCCTTAAGGGAACACATGGCACCTCTTCTCCACACGGCTAAGCCAGCCAGCCTTAAGGGAACACATGGCACTCCTTCTCACACGGCTAAGCAGCAGCCTTAAGGGAACACATGGCACCTCCTTCTCCACACGGCTAAGCAGCAGCCTTAAGGGAACACATGGCACCTCCTTCTCCACACGGCTAAGCATTAGCCTTAAGGGAACACATGGCACCTCCTTCTCCACACGGCTAAGCATTAGCCTTAAGGGAACACATGGCACCTCCTTCTCCACACGGCTAAGCAGCAGCCTTAAGGGAACACATGGCACCTCCTTCTCCACACGGCTAAGCAGCAGCCTTAAGGGAACACATGGCACCTCCTTCTCCACACGGCTAAGCAGCAGCCTTAAGGGAACACATAGCACCTCCTTCTCCACACGGCTAAGCAGCAGCCTTAAGGGAACACATAGCACCTCCTTCTCCACACGGCTAAGCAGCAGCCTTAAGGGAACACATAGCACCTCCTTCTCCACACGACTAAGCAGCACAGAACACTTAAGGGAACACATAGCACCTCCTTCTCCACACGGCTAAGCAGCAGCCTTAAGGGAACACATAGCACCTCCTTCTCCACACGGCTAAGCAGCAGCCTTAAGGGAACACATAGCACCTCCTTCTCCACACGGCTAAGCAGCAGCCTTAAGGGAACACATGGCACCTCCTTCTCCACACGGGCTAAGCAGCAGGCCTTAAGGGAACCATGGCACCTCCTTCTCCCCCACACGGCTAAGCAGCAGCCTTAAGGGAACACATAGCACCTCCTTCTCCACACGGCTAAGCAGCAGCCTTAAGGGAACACATGGCACCCTCCTCTCCCACACGGCTAAGCAGCAGCCTTAAGGGAACACATGGCACCTCCTTCTCCACACGGCTAAGCAGCAGCCTTAAGGGAACACATGGCACCTCCTTCTCCACACGGCTAAGCATCAGCCTTAAGGGAACACATGGCACCTCCTTCTCCACACGGCTAAGCATCAGCCTTAAGGGAACACATGGCACCTCCTTCTCCACACGGCTAAGCAGCAGCCTTAAGGGAACACATGGCACCTCCTTCTCCACACGGCTAAGCAGCAGCCTTAAGGGAACACATGGCACCTCCTTCTCCACACGGCTAAGCAGCAGCCTTCAGGGAACACATAGCACCTCCTTCTCCACACGGCTAAGCAGCAGCCTTAAGGGAACACATAGCACCTCCTTCTCCACACGGCTAAGCAGCAGCCTTAAGGGAACACATAGCACCTCCTTCTCCACACGGCTAAGCAGCAGCCTTAAGGGAACACATAGCACCTCCTTCTCCACACGGCTAAGCAGCAGCCTTAAGGGAACACATAGCACCTCCTTCTCCACACGGCTAAGCAAAAGCCTTAAGGGAACACATAGCAACCTCCTTCTCCACACGGCTAAGCAGCAGCCTTAAGGGAACACATAGCACCTCCTTCTCCACACGGCTAAGCTGCAGCCTTAAGGGAACACATAGCACCTCCTTCTCCACACGGCTAAGCAGCAGCCTTAAGGGAACACATGGCACCTTAAGGGAAACATGGCACCTCCTTCTCCACACGGCTAAGCAGCAGCCTTAAGGAACACATGGCACCTCCTTCTCCACACGGCTAAGCAGCAGCCTTAAGGGAAAACATGGCACCTCCTTCTCCCACACGGCTAAGCAGCAGCCTTAAGGGAACACATGGCACCTCCTTCTCCACACGGCTAAGCAGCAGCCTTAGGGAACACATGGCACCTCCTTCTCCACACGGCTAAGCAGCAGCCTTAAGGGAACACATGGCACCTCCTTCTCCACACGGCTAAGCAGCAGCCTTAAGGGAAACACATGGCACCTCCTTCTCACACGGCTAAGCAGCAGCCTTAAGGGAACACATGGCACCTCCTTCTCCAACACGCTAAGCATTCAGCCTTAAGGGAACACATGGCACCCTCCTTCTCCACACGGCTAAGCATTAGCCTTAAGGGAACACATGGCACCTCCTTCTCCACACGGCTAAGCAGCAGCCTTAAGGGAACACATGGCACCTCCTTCTCCACAGGCTAAGCAGCAGCCTTAAGGGAACACATGGCACCTCCTTCTCCACACGGCTAAGCAGCAGCCTTAAGGGAACACATAGCACCTCCTTCTCCACACGGCTAAGCAGCAGCCTTAAGGGAACACATAGCACCTCCTTCTCCACACGGCTAAGCAGCAGCCTTAAGGGGAACACATAGCACCTCCTTCTCCACACGGCTAAGCAGCAGCCTTAAGGGAACACATAGCACCTCCTTCTCCACACGGCTAAGCAGCAGCCTTAAGGGAAACACATAGCACCTCCTTCTCCACACGGCTAAGCAGCAGCCTTAAGGGAACACATAGCACCTCCCTTCTCCACACGGCTAAGCAGCAGCCTTAAGGGAACACATAGCACCTCCTTCTCCACACGGCTAAGCTGCAGCCTTAAGGGAACACATAGCACCTCCTTCTCCACACGGCTAAGCAGCAGCCTTAAGGGAAACACATAGCACCTCCTTCTCCACACGGCCCTACGGCTAAGCAGCAGCCTTAAGGGTACACATAGCACCTCCTTCTCCACACGGCTAAGCAGCAAGCCTTAAGGGAAACACATGGCACCTCCCTTCTCCACACGGCTAAGCATCAGCCTTAAGGGAACACATGGCACTCCTTCTCCACACGGCTAAGCAGCAGCCTTAAGGGAACACATGGCACCTCCTTCTCCACACGGCTAAGCAGCAGCCTTAAGGGAACACATAGCACCTCCTTCTCCACACGGCTAAGCAGCAGCCTTAAGGGAACACATAGCACCTCCTTCTCCACACGGCTAAGCAGCAGCCTTAAGGGAACACATAGCACCTCCTTCTTCCACACGGCTAAGCAGCAGCCTTAAGGGAACACATGGCACCTCCTTCTCCACACGGCTAAGCAGCAGCCTTAAGGGAACACATGGCACCTCCTTCTCCACACGGCTAAGCAGCAGCCTTAAGGGAACACATGGCACCTCCTTCTCCACACGGCTAAGCAGCAGCCTTAAGGGAACACATAGCACCTCCTTCTCCACACGGCTAAGCAGCAGCCTTAAGGGAACACATGGCACCTCCTTCTCCACACGGCTAAGCAGCAGCCTTAAGGGAACACATGGCACCTCCTTCTCCACACGGCTAAGCAGCAGCCTTAAGGGAACACATGGCACCTCCTTCTCCACACGGCTAAGCAGCAGCCTTAAGGGAACACATGGCACCTCCTTCTCCACACGGCTAAGCAGCAGCCTTAAGGGAACACATGGGCACCTCCTTCTCCACACGGCTAAGCAGCAGCCTTAAGGGAACACATGGCACCTCCTTCTCCACACGGCTAAGCAGCAGCCTTAAGGGAACACATGGCACCTCCTTCTCCACACGGTCAGCATTAGCTTAAGGGAACACATGGCACCTCCTTCTCCACACGGCTAAGCAGCAGCCTTAAGGGTACACATAGCACCTCCTTCTCCACACGGCTAAGCAGCAGCCTTAGGGAACACATAGCACCTCCTTCTCCACACGGCTAAGCTGCAGCCTTAAGGGAACACATAGCACCTCCTTCTCCACACGGCTAAGCAGCAGCCTTAAGGGAACACATAGCACCTCCTTCTCCACACGGCTAAGCAGCAGCCTTCAGGGAACACATAGCACCTCCTTCTCCACACGGCTAAGCAGCAGCCTTAAGGGAACACATAGCACCTCCTTCTCCACACGGCTAAGCAGCAGCCTTAAGGGAACACATAGTACCTCCTTCTCCACACGGCTAAGCAGCAGCCTTAAGGGAACACATAGCACCTCCTTCTCCACACGGCTAAGCAGCAGCCTTAAGAGAACACATAGCACCTCCTTCTCCACACGGCTAAGCAGCAGCCTTAAGGGAACACATAGCACCTCCTTCTCCACACGGCTAAGCAGCAGCCTTAAGGGAACACATAGCACCTCCTTCTCCACACGGCTAAGCAGCAGCCTTAAGGGAACACATGGCACCTCCTTCTCCACACGGCTAAGCAGCAGCCTTAAGGGAACACATAGCACCTCCTTCTCCACACGGCTAAGCAGCAGCCTTAAGGGAACACATAGCACCTCCTTCTCCACACGGCTAAGCAGCAGCCTTAAGGGAACACATAGCACCTCCTTCTCCACACGGCTAAGCAGCAGCCTTAAGGGAACACATAGCACCTCCTTCTCCACACGGCTAAGCAGCAGCCTTAAGGGAAGACATAGCACCTCCTTCTCCACACGGCTAAGCAGCCAATAGCAGCTGAAACAGAGCAATATTTGGCAATTTGTTTCTCTTTGACATTCCAGCAACTCTCAGACCAATCACGGTGCTTTTATATACCTGGCCAAGACTTCCGAATACAAGTATGCTGTATCTACATTTGTACCCAAAGCTGGTTATCACATCGAGCAGTGGTTGGTATTTGATATACTGGTCCATGCACAGGTCAAAGGCACAGCCTACTTCTAATATTAGCACCTCCCTGTGGTTGGTGTCAACAAAAACAACATCAGGTGTATTTGGGATGTTAGCAAAGACATCGTTGGTAAAACCAAACCAAACCAAACCACACACACACTGAATTGTTTACCCGAGATTAAGAGTTGCTCTTCGGGGAAATAAATCATTACAGCAATTCAAGAAACGTTTTATTAAAGAAAGTATGAGAAAAAAAAGTTGTATCTTCAGGAAAGCATTTAGAGAAAGCTTGTTCTATATTTGATTAGAAATAGGAAAATTCTTCAGAGTAAAGTCATAGTAAATATTTGCTAAAATCATATGAGGAGTTTTAGGTAATAAAATCCACTGGTTAAAAAGTCATATTTAGAAACCTTTTCCCAAGTTTTATAAGTAAATAAAACTAATAGTAAAACTGGAAACATCATTGAAACTGTTAGCGTGCTAAAGCTATCAGATGTATTATTTAACTCACTGATGTTACCGGTTATCATGAGATAAGATAGTTTCAGTAGTTTGAACAGCACCAGGGTAAACATTAAAAACAGGAGAACACAGATTAGAGATTAACACAATCAAATGATATACAGTTAAGTAACTTTAAAATAAGAAATGAATATATGTATATCAACATCATGCCTATGTTTCCCCTCCAGGTGTGACGGAGGACACGGTGTGTGTGTCGGCGTCGCTCGGCTCGGTGCAGACGATCAGCTGATCCGCACCGGGACGTTACGCCAGCTGGTGTCATGTGACCTGGGCGAGCCGCTCCATTCGCTGGTCGTCACCGGACATCTGCACCCGCTGGAGGTGGACATGCTGCGAATCAACGCTGAACCTGACGCTCTGAAGGACCTGAAGTCCATCGACAGCTCCACCTTCTGCTCATAACACACACTCTGACTCTGGGTACATGTGAGGACCAACACAACTACAGTACAAGAGAAATAACCCACAACTTTTTGGATGATTTATTTATCTTTAGGGTTGTTTTTTCATGGAGAAATGTCTTTAAGAGCAGCCTGTACTTCCTTTAAATATCAAGATTTGCTGCTTTTCTTTGTTATATATCAAAGAAAGAACCATCAGAATCAGAATACCTGTATTAGTCCCACTGTCCCTACAATGTTGAAAGGTCCTCTTATGATGGTTATGGTAATACTTGGTCCTCACAAAGACAGTTAAACAAGCCACAACTTTTATGATTTATTTATCGTAATGATGCGTTAGGGTTGTTTTTTCATGGAGAAATGTCTTTAAGAGCAGCTTGTTACTTCCTTCAAATATCGAGATGTGCTGCTTTTCTTTGTTATATATATATCAAAGAAAGAGGATATCTATTGGTTTGACGAAAAAAAGCAACTTACTCTTTATATAAAGTTTGATTGAATAATTGTAAGTTAAACGCTGAAACTGATGCTCTGAAGGACCTGAAATCCATCGAGAGTTCCACTTTCTGCTCATAACACACACTGACTCTGGGCGAGAACTCCATAATGACAACAAACCATCACAGTAAAAGAGAAATAATCCACAACTTTATGATGAATTTGGGTGTTTTTTTCATGGAGAAATGTCTTTAAAAGCAGCTTGTACTTCGTTTGAAATATTGAGATTTGCTGCTTTTCTTTGTTAAATACCAAAGAGGATATCTTTTGTTTTGGTTTGACAAAAAAAGCACCTTATAAAAGTTTAATCAAATAATTACAGTCCTACAAATGTCTAATAATAACCCTGAACCATCAAACTGTGCCTACAATATTGAAAGGTCCTTATGATGTTATAGTAATACTTGGTCCTCACAAAGACAGTAAAACAAGCCTATACACACACACAACAGGCTGCAGGATGTCATTCATCATCAGAAAACCAACATTAAAGGTGACATGTCATGCTTTTCCGGTTATTACCCGTCCCCTTGTGTGTTATGAAGGTTTTTATGCATGTAAACGGTGTGCACAGTCAAAACCCTCAAAGTACACCCTGTAGCGAGTAAAACTCTAATACAGAAAATACCTCCCCAAAACGTCATCATCCATTTGATTCTTCCGGGGACATCTGATGTCATGTCGTACCCGGAACGAAATGGACCGAGCCATTACGTTATGTCCGCGGAGCCGTTACGTTAAGCCCCCCGCTGATTGGTCCAAATTGACCAATCCACGGACTTCCTCTCCACACACTCAGTGCAGGCAGCTCTGCTGATCTCTCCTCCCTGGCTGATAACAGACAGTTGGGATCGCGGCGAAATTCTCTCTGCAGACCCGTTCTCTCTGCAGACCCATTCTCTCTACAGACCCATTCTCTCCGCAGACCCGTTCTCTCCGCAGACCCGTTCTCTCCGCAGACCCGTTCTCTCCTGCAGACCCGTTCTCACAGCGTTTATCAACCTTTTTCTTTCTCAATATCAAGCCACACTTATTGTTTTTACTTCGGCTGTGACTTTGTGTGTGCTCAGGGTGAGTTTGGCTGAGTTTCGCTGTGTATCACTAAACAAGGAAACGACACCTCCACGGAGCTCAGCGCGATTCACAACGTTCCCGACCAATCGGAGCACACTGGGCTCACAGGAGGGGGTGAATACACGTAGTTTACAGAGATGCTGTATGCGAAACAATGTGAGTTGGAAAATGGCACAGTATAAATCTATTCTAGTCGACCTCAACAATGGAATTATGATCAGTGGAAATGGCCATGACATGGGACCTTTAAAAGCTCTTTTTGGATCGGTAAAACTTCTGGTCCTGTTAAACCCAGATAAAGCCAGGTCCCCAGTTTGTGCTATGAACAAAAACGTGTGTACATTGTGATGTCATCAATAACGAGAAATAATAAAAAAAATCGGAGAAACAATTATTTATTTATTACAGTTGAAAAAAGAAGAAGACTGAAACCCCCCGTCTGGTCACATGATTTGGCACGTTTTAAAAACAGTGACATCACACGCCGGTGATGTCATAGGGAGGGGGGGCTCAAATTGTCTCTGATTCATGATGAAGGCACTTACCCAGAATGCTTTGCTCCAGTCTACAAAGTGCAGCGAGGGTGTGGGGGGGGTCAGGTAAGTAAAAAAGAAGAAAGAAATTAGGGGAGAGAGGCCATTTTTGGCTGGAGCATCTTGGTAGTTCAGTCTCACTGCCCCCCCCCCCACGCTGTCTGTCCTTCATTGACTCTGGGAGGTGGGTCAGAGGTCACCTGCAGCAGACTGAAAGGTGATTGGTCCCAGGTGTTCAGAAGAGCGGGGCTTCTACATGGAGGCCGTCTCAATCTGAACGTACAGCTGCCGAACTCCAGCCTGAACACAGAAATAATGTTTACGCTACAAATACAAAAAACACAGGTAAACAAAGATAATACTATACAGGCACATTAATACCATCAATATTACTGCAACAACAGTTTAACACCTCTAAGTAAATATTTATTGTACTATCAGATAATAGTAAAATACTAATTATACTACTATTACAACACAGGTGAATAATAACTAGAAATACTACTCCCAACTAAAACACAGGTTAATCACAGATAAATAAATACCTATAAGGGAAGGCTGCCAAACGTGTTCATGTACCTGTGAAGAGGTTTTTTTAACCGTGAGGTTCTTTCAGGTACCTGTGTGATGATGATTTGTGAAGATGTGTGGTGCGTTCAGGTACTTGTGTGAAGATGTGTGGTGCGTTGAGGTACCTGTGTGAAGATGTGGTGGTTGTTGCGTTCAGGTACATGATAGAAGATGTGTGGTGTGTTTCAGGTACCTGTGTACAGATGTGATGTGTGTACAGATGTGATGTGGCCATTACGTTATGTCCCGGAGCCGTTACGTTAAGCCCCCGCTGATTGGTCCAAATTGACCAATCCACGGACTTCCTCACACACTCAGTGCAGGCAGCTCTGCTGATCTCTCCTCCCTGGCTGATAACAGACAGTTGGGAGATCGCGGCGAAATTCTCTCTACAGACCCATTCTCTCTGCAGGACCCGTTCTCTCGCAGAGCCCGTTCTCTCCGCAGACCCGTTCTCTCCGCAGACCCGTTCTCTCCGCAGGACCCGTTCTCTCCGCAGACCCGTTCTCCTCCGCAGACCCGTTCTCTCCGCAGACCCGTTCTCTCCGCAGACCCGTCTCTCCTCCGCACCTGACCACTTCTCACAGCGTTTATCACCTTTTTCTTTCTCAATATCAAGCCACACTTATTGTTTTTACTTCGGCTGTTGACTTTGTGTGTGCTCAGGGTTGAGTTTGGCTGAGTTTCGCTGTGTATCACTAACAAGGAAACAGACACCTCCACGGAGCTCAGCGCGATCACAACGTCCCGACCAATCGGAGCACACTGGGCTCACAGGGAGGGGGTGAATACACGTAGTTTACAGAGATGCTGTATGCGAAAACAATGTGAGTTTGGAAAATGGGCACAGTATAAATCTATTCTAGTCGACCTCAACAATGGAATTATGATCAGTGGGAAATAGCCATGACACGGGACCTTTAAAAGCTCTTTTTTGGATCGGTAAAACTTCTGTCCTGTTAAACCCAGATAAAAGCCAGGTCCCCAGTTTGTGCTATAAACAGAAACGTGTGTACATTGTGATGTCATCAATAACGAGAAATAATAAAAAAAATCGGAAGAAGAAACAATTATTTATTTATTACAGTTGAAAAAAGAAGAAGACTGAAACCCCCCGTCTGGTCACATGATTTGGCACGTTTTAAAAACAGTGACATCACACGCCGGTGATGTCATAGGGAGGGGGGGCTCAAATTGTCTCTGATTCATGATGAAGGCACTTACCCAGAATGCTTTTGCTCCAGTCTACAAAGTGCAGCGAGGGGTGTGGGGGGGTCAGGTACGTAAAAAGAAAGAAAGAACTTAGGGGGGAGAGAGGCCATTTTTGGCTGGAGCATCTTGGTAGTTCAGTCTCACTGCCCCCCCCCCCCACGCTGTCTGTCCTTCATTGACTCTGGGAGGTGGGTCAGAGGTCACCTGCAGCAGACTGAAAGGTGATTGGTCCCAGGTGTTCAGAAGAGGCGGGGCTTCTACATGGAGGCCGTCTCAATCTGAACGTACAGCTGCCGAACTCCAGCCTGAACAACAGAAATAATGTTTACGCTACAAATACAAAAAACACAGGTAAACAAAGATAATACTATACAGGCACATTAATACCATCAATATTACTGCAACACAGTTACACCTCTAAGTAAATATTTATTGTACAATCAGATAATAGTAAAATACTAATTATACTACTATTACAACACAGGTGAATAATAACTAGAAATACTACTCCAACTAAAACACAGGTTAATCACAGATAAATAAATACCTATAAGGGAAGGCTGCAAACGTGTTCATGTACCTGTGAAGAGGTTTTTTGACCGTGAGGTTCTTTCAGGTACCTGTGTGATGATGATTTGTGAAGATGTGTGGTGCGTTCAGGTACTTGTGTGAAGATGTGTGGTGCGTTGAGGTACCTGTGTGAAGATGTGGTGTGGTGTGTTCAGGTACCTGTGTACAGATGTGATGTGTGTTCAGGTACCTGTGTACAGATGTGATGTGTTCAGGTACCTGTGTTGATGTAGGTCTGTGGGGTGCGTTCAGGTACCTGTGTGAAGTTGTGGTGCGTTCAGGTACCTGTGTGAAGTTGTGGTGCTTTCAGGTACCTGTGTGAAGATGTGTGGTGCGTTCAGGTACCTGTGTGAAGATGTGGTGAATGTGGCGCGTTCAGGTACCTGTGTGAAGTTGTGGTGCTTTCAGGTACCTGTGTGAAGATGTGTGGCGCGTTCAGGTACCTGTGTGAAGATGTGGTGAATGTGGTGCGTTCAGGTACCTGTGTGAAGTTGTGGTGCGTTCAGGTACCTGTGTGAAGATGTGGTGAATGTGGTGCTTTCAGGTACCTGTGTGAAGATGTGGTGAATGTGGTGCGTTCAGGTACCTGTGTGAAGTTGTGGTGCTTTCAGGTACCTGTGTGAAGATGTGTGGTGCGTTCAGGTACCTGTGTGAAGATGTGGTGAATGTGGTGCATTCAGGTACCTGTGTGAAGTTGTGGTGCGTTCAGGTACCTGTGTGAAGATGTGGTGAATGTGGTGCGTTCAGGTACCTGTGTGAAGTTGTGGTGCGTTCAGGTACCTGTGTGAAAATGTGGTGAATGTGGTGCGTTCAGGTACCTGTGTGAAGATGTGGTGAATGTGGTGCGTTCAGGTACCTGTGTGAAGATGTTGTGCGTCTGGCTGAGGATCCAGCGTGTGTCGGCATCAGGAGCGACCAGCAGTTTTAACGTCCCGATGTAAACGTCCGTACACAAAGTCCAGAAGTGAGGATCCTGCAGGTTGTAAACGCCCTGCAGCTTCTGCACCTGAACGCATCACGAGAAAAACCAGGAATTAGACACGTCCCTGACACAAAAGTTACATTAAGCTGATGTTTTAATATAAAGTACAACAGACGTGTTTGAGGCGTTGATCATGGTAAACTGTCTTTAGATTAATCATGAAAAGTCAAAGTATATTTTGTGTTAGAGCCAGTATTTAGTTTTTATAAGAAAGGCCACCTAACCGTGACGTCTGTAGTCAACAGAGTATAAAAGACTACAATTCCCACGGCGCCTCATCTAAAATGTTTTTAATTGTTCAACTACCGTTTAAGTTACCAAGTTATACAAGCCTGAACATAGAAAGAAAGCAAGAAAGAATACCTACATTTTTGTTATTTTATTTGGAAAGACAACGAGTTAGAAATGTGTTTCAGGCGTCTAGTGGCTTGGTGGGAAATGAGGAAGGAAGCCACGCAGAGGTGATTTAGAAGTGTTTTTACTGACCCTCTGGTAGCTCTCGGGCAGCTTCTGG